AATGCCATGCAACTGCACAATGCAGCTACACAACTGCCATGTGCGGGTTGGCCCACGGGACTTTCCCGCATTTGAAATTCCATTAACCAGGAGAATTTTCCGTTTTGAAATATTTTCATTTGCATGCAACAGGTAAAAATTAATATTTAAACTGCACTCATAAAATATTTGAATACTTCTCAACCGCACTTTCATCGGCGCTTATAAATTATAAAATTTGTTTTTGTTTGCTGACAATTGGCAAAATTTGCACTTCTCTTTAATAAAAAAAAATTCAGATGACACAACTTTAATTTATTTGTAGATAGTTTGGAGTGTATTAAATGGTGGAGGATGTATTCAATTTTAAATAAATGAAATTGGTTTTAAAACATTTTAAATTAAAAGCTAACTATCGCGTTAATCAATGGCTATTCATCGCTATACATCCACTTTTTTATTAATTCGGACAAGTGAGATATATATCAAAAATTATCCAAATTTATCATATAAAATTAAAATACAATTTTTTTGTCGAGGAAGATTTAGTAAAATATTTAATCGCTTGACTTTCTAATTAAGTAAAAGTTATTTACTAACAAAAGGAATCTGTATTTTGTGCAGCGACCAATTGATTTGTGGAGAATTGGATATTTTATATATCTCTTTTCAGCCAAAAATTCGTCTAATTAAAATAATATACATAAATATGAATTTTTGTTGTTGTTCACTACTTTTCAAAAAAACCTCTTTATATCTCTTATCTTTATATCTCTTATTTTATCATGTCCTTTACAAATATTTTAAAAAATCTATATTTATTAGAAATCTATAGCAATTTATAACATAATAATAATAACAATTTATGCTATAAGGAGCTCAGTCAGCAGTTTGGATGTAGAGTACCCTTTCTGTTAGAGTTCTGGAATACTAACACCTTTACAACATATTAAAAGAATTTAATACTATAATATTATATCTATAATATCTATAATACTATATCTTTTATATTTATTATTTATCTTTTTATTATTAATATTTTAGTTAGATTACTAAGTGAGAGCCACATCTTAATAAACTGCATTGGCGAGATCATACCATACCATACCATCAACAGTTTAGAAGATATTGTGTTGTAAGAGTAGCCCCTAAAACCATGCTTTGATAAATGTATTATATTATTTGCCAACAAATAGAAAATAAATTATAGCAAGAAATTTATAAATATTTATATGCCACGAGATGTACGAGCCACATCGGGTCATTGATATCATTCAACAAATTAACATCTAGAACGATCCAGCAAAAAATGTATTTAAAGCGATAATTGGAGGAAGAAGACGTAGAGGTGAAACGTGCCTATAATGGAATGCGTAGGTTTAGAAACCGTTAACCAGACCTTATGTACGAAACTGAAGAAGGCGCGGATGCAGCGCGAATCACTTGTAGAGACATATGGTACTGCGTCAGTTAAAAAGCCGGTAAAGGATTGTCTTGGCCATTTAAGTAAGTAATGTTGGTTGTATATATATATGATATGCTTGTCATTCAATGAATAAATGTTAACACGAACAAAACGAAAACTGACAGGCTTACCAACACCGCGTTGTCGAATCTCAGAATGGTTACAGGCTCCTCAGGGAGGTATGAGGTCAATTATTGCTTAGTCTGATGAAGTGATAAACAATTATCCAGTCTAGGCGTAGAGAGGAGTTATGAAGAAACCTTACAGTTAATAGAAAATAAAAGTGTTTAAGTGCACTGACTCAACTAGCCTCAACATAATACATACAAGTAACAAAAATGGTAAGTAAATATATATAAGTAAATAAAATAGAAATCAAATTAACTTTATAAATACAAAATACAATCTTTTGGAAAAAAAAAACTTCAAATCAACCATTGGACATTTTTGATTTCATTCCACATAGAATCAAAACAAATATTTTTTTTCTTTTTCAAGCAATAACTCTTGACATCATTTGTGCTCCAAGCTTAATGTTACCAAATAAATCTAACCAAATGAACTCCAAAGCAATTGTTATAAATAAAATAGAATTTATTGTTCTGCGGAGAAAAAAAAAACTATGTGTTATAATTTATCAAACTTTTTAACAATGGAACAAAAATCTTTAAACCGGAAATTAAACATTTATGACGCTTTTGTTCTGTTACCTGCCAGTGTTGTTGTGTTATGTTATGTACTATAAATTGATATTAAAATAAAAAATTTAAAAAAAACATAAGGAAATTATTATTATGATTATTTCAGTTGACTAACCTCAACGCTCCGACGATGGCATATGCAATTAAAACAATTATTTTTCATTGAAAGTCCAAGTGTCAAATGTTTTGTTTGATATGCAAATTATAGATAATTTGAATAAATATTTTTCTTTGTTTTCATTAATTGAAAAAAACTGCAACTAAATTGAAAGCCACTCAATATGATTTGAATGGAAAAAAGGTAATCGAAACCAAAATCAAACTTAAAATAATATTAGCTGAAGTACTATTATCGCTGTATAATGAGAAATTATGCTGAACACTTGATGTTTCATTTCATAATGAAAATTTTTCATTTCATATTGAAAATATTAGATACACTTTACAGTGTATCTTCACCCTTCTCTCATTTACCGCACACTGCACACTGGTCGGTGCAGTGTTGGTAAATGTTAACTAAAAAATATTTCCGCTTAACTAAACAATTTTGTCATTTTCATGCTTGATTTCATGTACTTAATCATGGCAATAGAGTAGTCATTGCAGATACAATTAAGTACTCTGAAATATTTTATTAAAAATGTTATAGTAATAATTAAAAGTTGTTGTTATTGTAAATTATTAAAAAAAAACTTTTGAGGGCGTTTACCGTAAACACGTGTTTTGTCTCATTGTCTGATCTATTATAAAAAAAAAGAAAATAAAACTATAAGATAAAATATGAGACAAGTGTAAATCACTTTATGGTGCAATAAATATTTTTTTTTAAATAAAATTGGAATTTTTTTATATATTTGTAATATTTCATTTATTTAGTTTAATATTATTTGTTTAATTTATGGATCAATAAATTCGGTTAAAAACTTAAAATTTATTTACAACGACTTTCGTGCTTGCAATAAGAAGTAATAAATTTTCTGCTTAAGAAAAAAAAATTGTAATTAAATTAATACAATGATATGAACAACATCATGACAGATATATGTGTTTTCTTATTGCAAATAAAAATAAATGAAACATCGTTCCAACTTTCATTCTAAAAGAGGAGGATTATAAAAATTTGTACTTCATTCAAAAATTAATCAACAATATTAAAATTAATTTCTATTTGCCAATTTATTTAAAATAAATTAAATTAAAATACATTAAAAATTAAAACAAAAAAAAAATAATAACTATTACTTTTGAAGCAATCTTTGATTTAGGAACTTATATATGCTCAGTCAATGGTGTAACCAGGATTGTGCCAAGGTGGGCACAAACCAGAAAATATTATCTGTTTAAGAATAATTTTGCAAGTCACTAAATTTTTATATAATGTATTATATTATCAACTGAATTATATAATTACTCCAATGAATCTACTAACACATGAGTGCCAAAGAGTATACAACAAGAAAATAAACGACTATCATACCCAACAAATGCCAAAGGAAGGTCAGGAGCAAACCATCGCAAAGAAGTAAGGAAGATGGAGAACGTAAAAAAGATGGATAGCACGACTGATACCTAATATATCCTGGCTCAAACAGAAATCGGGAGCCATAAATGCTGACCGGACATAACTATTCTGGATATAACTGTACCACATGACTCTACCTGACTGAATTTTGACGACGTAAAGCACACTTTCTTTTACTGTAATAGGTGGCTCATATTTTGAGAAGAAATAATAGTCTGCACCAATGAGTCCCGAGAACATAGTTGAAAAGACGAGATCAACCCAGAGAGCTGGCGAATGATAGAGTCAAATGTGATCCAAGTTCTCAAAGCGAAGAATTTACACCCAGAAAGGAGAAGCAGAAACTAGAGTAATAAATAGGGAGAAACCAAAAAATGCGATGAAAAAATGGAGGTCTGGACGCAGAACAAAACTCAAAAAGTGCATGCAACGCAATTGCCACGTCAATATAAAAGAGACCCTTCCCGAAATAATGCGAAAATGGTTTCGGAGGAAACAAGTCTCTTCGAAGAGTAAGTGTTGTCGGGCATACCATTCCGACAGCGGTCAGTTTGACGGTGCATAAATCCTTCCACTTTCTCATCACAACAAAAAAAAGTAATAACAATATTGTCAAGACAGGATCTATCCTCTCTTGCCTACTGCAGTGCATAAGAGATAATGCTAAATATTAACATAAAGTACACACTGTACATAACCGGTTAATCTGGTACAATAGGTCTCTTCTGGCCGCAGTACCGGCTGTTGGGCAATTTTCACGTCTACTTTTTAATAATAAATAAAAATAATAACCGGCTATTTTAAAAATTAACATGAATGCCATTAACAGTGCTACCAATTCATGAAAAAATAATTTTCATATAGACACATTTAGATTATAAATTACAGATATTTTCCGAATGAAGAAATTTATTTAGAGAAAAAGTTTTTATTATTTTCTAATATGTATTTACAAAGATATTTTTTTTTACTTCGTATTAACGTACCACAGATCCTGACACTCTTAGATTTAATCTAAGTCTTAGTTTCAACATATTATTAGAAACAGTAGAAATATTGCTTCTGACTATCTATGTATGACTTGATGTATGTAATACAAAAATATATTAACACTTAAAAAAATATATACCTATATATTAAAAATATAGCATATCAATTTTAGAAATGTGTTTTTGACATTCCATTACTGAGTCTTTTATTTCAACATAAAATAATAGTTTATTGAGTTAAGATAGATCAATGTTTTTTTATTATTCTATATAATAGAAATAGTTATATGATAATAATTGTAATAATCTACTAGTAATATGATAAGTTATATTAAAAGACTCACCGTATTTCCTGTCTTAGTGTTTGATCTCCTAATAAAAGTTCAGTTCTTCCTTTTGATATGCTACTATTTGGACTACTTTTTAATTGTATTTGCTTATCGTATGAAAGTGAATTTAATAAAGTTTTGTTGTTACTATCTTCAACATCAACATCATCAACAATTATGGCATCTTCGTTAAGTGTAGTTAGTAACTGCAAAAAAAAAAATAACAATATTAGTGGAAGTACTAGAACTAACATTAACAGAAATGTGCTTTATAAAAAATTAAACTTTTAAATTTTAGAACTTAAGAAATAAATGTTTAATTAAATATTAAACCATTGCACCTAAAATAAGGTTTTAAAATAAAATTTATATTTTAAACAATTTAATAATGTATAAATTAAAAACATCTAAATAAAAATATCCATAAAAAAGTTTAACTAAATGTATCTCAAAACTTTTTAATTAACACTTTTTAATTTTTGTATATTATTTACAAATTAAAAATTAAATAATAAAACCACAATTTAATAAATTTAAGTTGAAAAAACATTAGAATTCTAAAAGTTTAGAATAAAAGTTTAGAAATACAAAATAGAAATATTTTGTATTTAAATAATATTTACTACAGTAAAATTATTATTTAATTCAGTTTTATTATTAATACAGAAAGAAAACAAATTAATTTAAAAATTATTATAATTTATAAAAATTATTTTGATTTATTCTGAAACGGACGTTTAACCGTTTCGACGAAACTAAACTCTTAATGTAAACTATTGTTTTCAATAATGAGGTTTTTATTGAACCTCCAAGAACTGATATTGCAACAACTAAAATTTTTATTATTTTTAATTAATTGAATTTTTGACTGATCATACAGCTCTTTCGAGTATTGTCAAATACCCATCATCACTGGTCTTTTGAAATTATTTACTATATTTAATTTCTCGTAAATAATTTCTTTAGACTAAGGATACCAAGAGTTGAACTTATACCGTGCTAACATTCAAGCTTAAAATCAGCGTTCATAAGCCAACTCACTCAAAGCCGTACTTGACTTTTATCTTTGAACTTGAAGTTTTGTTGATTCGCTATAAGGATTAAATACCTATAAAAAATTTCTTGAACCAGAATTGCAATAGTTAGGAAAAAGAAGAATAAAAGACAACTTAACATTTCTTATGCAAATATCCGACAAGATTAAGGCATTACTCTATTAAAAATTATATTTTCTATAGCTTAAAATCCATTACCAAGAGAAAAGAAGCTAATAATGGGCACTTTTTTAAATATACGAAATATATAAATCAATTAAATCCATACGCTGATCATTCAGCTGTTTCGGATATTGCTAAATATCAATCATAAGTGGTCTATGAATACATATACTACCTATATAGAATTGCTTTAATTTTCCATATATTGTTTTTGGACTGCAATTGTCAGCAATTGAACCCTGTCAAATTTGAATGTAGACGCGACAGTTAAAACACTAAGCCAACGTACACTTATGGCGTTTTCGATTGGTAAATCTGGATTCAATCCAAGTTTACTCTAGATCTAATTTAGTTGCCCAATCGAACATTTTTAAAGTTATCTAGATTTTTTTGTGTTAGTAGATATTTATATTTTTCATAAACACATGTGTATATCGAATCAAATCACAATTTAGTTATCGTCATATAAAATTTAATTTAGAGATTTATCAAATTGTATGAAGAATGTATAGTAATACCGCATATCCCACGTGATCTATTGTGATATATTTGGATCTACATAAACCAGACGTTAGGTTTTGATGTGCTCTCAACGGATGGACTTTATCAATGCTTCTATATGGTTCTAACTTGACCATTCTTCTATTCATTATTACGAGGAATTGTGGAATTAAAACGGCGTTCTTAAGTAATTGAGTGGGATTCGTTCCTACCTCCACTTCAACTGACTATCGAACCAGACATTTATTGGACTTTTAATCTGTTAATTTCAATGAATATGACATATAAAAATATTTAACAACTTACTTTAAAATTTATATTTATGTTAAAAGTTTCTCTATGACTCTAATGCATTTATACAATAAAATAAATTTTCATAGAGAAAAAGACGAAAACGTGCAATAAATATAAGAAATTAATTAAAAACTCGAAAAATTCAATATAAATGTTAAATCATTTGCAGCTATTCCATAAAATAAATAAAAAATAATATCAAGGATAAAAGCTAGAATGGCTGCTAAAATGGCAACCAATTCCATTTGTTGTGAAACGAAAAGCTAATAAAATATTCTAAAAAATAAAAACCAAGAAGGAAGGAGCAACGGAAAAAGTATCCTTGCATGCAGCAGACAACAGAAAATCGAGTACACACACGACTGACTGCACAGAGCAATCCTGACTCACCTCTCGTCTCGGTGGATGAATATTATTCGATATTAATAAATCACAATTATTACTAAGATTACTACCAAACGTTCCGGCGGTGGTAGTCGTTTGATTAGTGTTTATGGCAGATCCGCCAATACTAATACCAGCTCCAACACCAGCACCAGTACCGACGCCAACCCCAGTAGTTGCTGCTGCTGCCGCTGCTGTTATCGCAGTTGCTGGTGCATTTGCAATTATCGAGGATGTGACTATATCCGCCTTAGTTATAAAAGTTTTATGATTAGCACCAATATAAGCAATATCAGTACCAACAGTTGTTGTCGTTGTTTGATTTGTTGCTTCGGATTTTAGGGTTGCATTTGCTGTTGCTGAGAAATTATTGCTATTATTGTTATTACTTAAAGTAGAATTTAAAGGTAAATTGCTCTGATTTTGTTGTTGATGACAATATGCTGATGCTAAATTGTTATTGTTATTATACAACTGTGTATGTGTGGCTGGCTGTGGTTGTCGATAATGTTGTTGTTGTTGTTGTTGTTGTTGATGATGTTGCTGTTGATGTTGATGTTGTGTTTGCTTATAAAGCTGTTGCTGTTGTTGCTGCTGCCGCTGTTGTTGTTCAACATGTGCTGCTGCTGCAGCAAAAGCCTGTTGTAAATGACTACTGGATATTGCTGTTGAATACTCAGTAGTTGGTGTTGTTGTGCCATCAACAGTATCAACAATTTTTGTTGCTGATAGGGGCGAAGTAGAAGTTTGTGCATCGACGAGTATTGTGCTGGGAATATTTAATGGCGGGGGCCGCTGATAATGATGTTGCGGATGCTGTAACTGCTGTAACTGCTGTGACTGTTGTAAGTGCGACGGTTGCTCTTGTTGCTGTGTTTGCTGCGATTGTTGCGGTTTTGGTTGTGGCGACTGGTGTTGCTGTGGTATGTGTTGTTGATTCGTTGCTGTAACGCTACCTGCCACCGTTGTTGCTGCTGTTAGCAGTGGTGCATCTTTCTTATTATAATTAATATAATTAATACTACAATAATTTGCACCGCCCACACCTAAATCATCGTCATCATCTTCCTCTTCGGCTAAAGCTAAATGTTGCAAACTGCTAGCTAACAAAGATTTTGTCGGATGTAATTGTTGTTTACCTGTTGGTGTGATTTTGGTGTTCTGTTGCTGCTGTTGTTGGTGTTGCTGTGCTAGTTGTTGACTTTGATATATATTGTGATTAGCTAATTTTGTTGCTGCAACTGCTGCATTCACGATTGCTGATGTCGTTTTATTGGCATTCTTATCGGGCACATTTGTTGTTGCTGTTGCTGTTACAATTGCTGCTGTTGTTGTGGTGGCTATCGTTGTTGCCGATGGTGTTGGTGCTATGGTTGATGATGTTATAAGGCCTGCAGTTGCTGCTGTTGCTGTTGTCACCGTTGAACTGCTACAAGTGATTTGATTGCTTGTAAACGATGTGACATAAATGGGTGAAGCTTCGTTAAGAAAACTTAAATCTTGTTTCTGTGTTCCTTTCGTCTGTTGCAGCTGAAATGTGAGCAAATATTAGTTCAATTTAAATAAATTTATAGAAATTTTAGAATATGTGAATGCACAATCCTTACAACTTATGCTCGCTATACTTGCATAAATAAAATTCAATTGAAAATTATATAGTCTCGAAACCCACACAAAATACAAATCGCGAATATTTAATAAACATTTCATTATTTTGATAAGTGACTTGAAAGGTTTCATTTCAACACACCCAAAAAATCTGCCTTAAAACTACATAGATATATTGAATTATAAATTCAGTATTTTATGGATTACATTTTTAAGACACAATCTGTCCAAATATCATCGTTTGTAGATATCGTATACATAACTATCGTGTACACGATACTCACCGTTAACGATCGTCATTAAATCATTAGTAGAACATCATTCGCTAATAGAATAGTCAGACCATTCAATAATAGAAAATATATATCATTATTCACACACAAATATCACTGCGGTGAGAGCTTTTATAAAACCAGTCACATCATTTAATCTCTTAAATCTCATTTAATTTAATTTTCTTATGAAACTAATGACAACCGAACAAAAATTAAGAAAAACATTTGCTAGACATTGGCTTTTACTATAAAAAACCACATTTTCCCCTTCATATGTTTATCAACTTTTCAAAGCACAGATGACTCACCTATTTTTTCTATTATGGATTTAAAAACTATATGTGATATAATAAGCATTTATTATAACACAAACATAGTGCGAAGATACAAACGTAATAAGTTTGTTTTAATTTTGTTTTAATAAAATAAAGGATTTACCTGATTGACCATATGGTAAATCCTTCGAGTATTTAGTATTAGAGAAAAATTTACCTGAGTGGTATATGGTATATTATTATATGTTTTTCTTGTATTAACAAAATTAGCTTTAACTAAGGAAATTTGTAGACCTCGGTAGATGCCCTAGTATACCATGGGACACCAGAGATTGTTCTCAGTATTTTTGACTGAGTTCTTTAGACAATTCCAATATTTAAAGCGCTAGCATTACCAAATAGCTGTATACCACTAGTCCATATTGGTTTTATGATCCCGTTATGCAGAAATACTGTGAACTTTAATATGAAATGATTGAGTTAAATATAAAATACAAATAAATCAAGGAATTGGAGGTCACATAATCAACTAAAAACCAGCACATTACTATATTTTATAATATATCATGTAACCATATAGTATTTTATAACAGAATATTAATTTTGCGGCTTATATCTCTGCTAATATCTCTTGACACCAAATCCCATTCTTATTTAATACTTGAATTATTTTGACTAAGAGACCTTTACATTCAGTTATGATTGTTGATAGAAAGCACCCAGTATTATACAAAATGTAAATTAAATTTTATTTTACATAATAATAACATTTTCATGCATTTAATTAACTCTTTTAAGACTTCACCTATACATTTTATTTTTTTTTTTTACATAAATTAACCATAAAACTCAATTAAAATGTAAAAACTTTTTCGTGTTTCTCTTATTGAAATTTAACCTTTTCGAATTAGTGAAAAAAAACATGCATAAGTTGCTTAATCTAAAATGTTAACCCGAATTGTTATTGCTAATTAAGCTCTTGATTATATTTAGTGATGAACTCTTAAGCTTATTACGAACATTTTGAATATGTAAAATTATTAGACAACAAAATTATTTAAAGAAACTTTCGCTCGGAGTTATCGTTTGACAGATGTCAATCAAAATGTTGACATCGTTGTCCACATTTTGTCTCATAAATGCTGCACCCATAAGAGCAGCATTGACAGACTCAGTGGGAATGGTAGTGACAACGCTAATAATACCAACAAAAATGAATTCATAATGGAATAAAAATCGAAAGTGGTCAATGTCAGTACTGAGCACTTTCTCCGATTACCGAGTATTGAGTATCGTGTATCGAGCACTGCGGAACATAGGAACATAGGAACATGGGGTACGGTCATCAGCACACTTCAAAGCGTGCTCACTTCAAGTACGCGTAGTAACTCAAAATGAATTTTAAGTACTGGTGTATTTGCAAAATTACTTAACAATGAATTCCAGTTCGGTATTTGAGTATTTGGGTGGAATTCGTAAGTGTATCTCACTTTCTGCTACATAACAACGCAAACAGCGCCAACAACGCGAAAGCGAACACGAGTTTGTAAAGCGATTAAAGGTTTTACTCGTACATTTTCAATTCATTTCAATTGTTTTTGTATTCCGCACTGCTTCGATTGCTTAATAAATTTGTGGTCCGTCAGAAATACTAAAGAGTTTCCAGTTCGTTTAGTCGCACATTGCCGTTGTTGGGTCGTAATAAAGAGCTCTGCGGATTTGGCATTCAGTGCAATTACAAAGGATTTATTTAATCCCCCAACAGGAATGATTTACAAAATTTTTAGCAATCCTTTTTTGAAATATTTCTGATTTTATATTACATATGGAAAGCAGCGGATGATGAGGTTTACAAAATTTTTATTTAAACCACAAGAATTTAAAAAACACTTTAAAAGTATTAACTACAAAAATTGATAAGTGGTTCTATTAAAATAAAAACATAGGCATTGTATTAAAATTCGATACACCTCTGCGAGAATAGACATGACACATAAGTTCAAATTTAAAATATATAAATCCAGACTATATTGCATCAAAAAGCAACAGAACGACCTTCCAAACCTATCACAAAGAGTTCTAGGCTTTTATAAATCCAAAAACCTTAAACTACTAAGCGATTGGTGGGTTAGTAATAATAATATTAATAACTCTGTACGATAAAAATGGATTATTTATTTCTCTTTTTTAATTTTATAGTGACTTATTTTTTTAGACCTCTGAGTCTCTGGCAATAACGAGTGAAAATTAAAAAATTAGGCTTTCAAAAGGTTAATAAAAAATTTCTCCATTTTGAGAGATGCTAGATGCTATCCAGTTAAGGACTGGTGCGTTGGTAATCTTATATATAAAATTAACATTGTCAAAATGTTAGTTACCGTACTCCTCCGAAACGGCTTTACCGATTTTTACCAAATTTTATATGCGTCTGGGAATCGGCTACTATCTATTTTGCATACCGCTAAAGTGATAAGGGTGTCCCTATCCAGCAAAAATATCTTTATTGCTTTAACAAAAATTTTTTTATATTTTTGACATAAATTTTTTTATATTTTTGAAAAAGAAAACTTGCTATGATATGAAAAGTTGTTGTCTATGAAAATACTGAATTCATAAAACTGCCCCTAATTTCTGCACTATCGTTGATTCCCAAAATGCTCTCATTGACCGCGTATTTCCAGATGTACACATACAATACATAAATCATGGTGACTGGCAGAAAGAGCCATTAGCAGCAAAAAAATGTGGAACGTTGATGAATTACTTCAAGATAAAAAACAGATTTGCAGGCGACTTATATCAAACAAATCGAGTCGATACAGTTTTGTGATACCAAACGAATTGTAAACTATCCAGCAGAGTTTTTAAACTCACTGGATTTGCCAGGCATGCCACCACACATTTTACGACTGAAAGTTGGATCACCGATTATTTTACTTCGCAATTTGAACCCACCACGGCTATGCAATAATACGCGATTGGTAATTAAAAAATTGATGAAAAACATTATCGAAGCCACCATTTTGAATGGCAAGTTTCGAAACGAAAAAGTTTTATTGCCACGAATTCCAATGATTCTCACAGACAAGCCAATTTAATTCAAACACGTTCAATTTTCTATTAGATTGGCATTTGCAAAGACCATCAATAAGTTACAAGGCCAAACGATGTCTGTTTGCGGTCTTATATATAAAATTTCCATGTCACAATGTTATTTTCCGTACTCCTCCGAAACAGCTTTACCGATTTTTACTAAATTTTATATGCGTATTCAGTAGGTCTGAGAATCGGCTACTATCTATTTTTCATACCGCTAAAGTGATTAGGGAGTCCCTACCCAGC